GTTCTGTACGTCCAACTGTAGAGGTTGTGTTTTGTTTACAATCTGTTTCTTGTTATTTCAGTAATTTAAAACCTAATTTAACCAAATAAAACGATATAATTATAAATACCCCCGCCGCAGCAAACCTGCCGACTAAGCGAATTTCCATTTGTCTGAATTTATTTTCAATCAAATCTATTTAAATAACATTAGGTTTAATGAGTACCTAGGTTTGCTGCTACAAGGAAACTAATAAAGTGTGTTTTTTAGTAAAATATTAAAAGCTTAGTATAAAATAAATAAATTTGCCAAGTTTGATCAAAATATATCCATAAACAAGCAAACTACAACATTTTACAATATTCTCCATAAGAATAACATGGAAATTTTAAATTTAAAATTTTTTGAATTTTCTCCGTTACCAATAATTGTACAAAAACACTTTGATATACTAAATTATTTGTTTTTTTAAGCTCTTTAAAAAGGTTTAAAGAGAAATTGGGAAATTTTGTGTTTTGAGGGTAAAAAATGAGAAAACCCAATTTTTACCCCATAAAACTTCCCGAAAAACCCTGTTCCCATGGTCTGATCATGCTGGTTCGCGAACTCATTCAAGTTTATCCCGCCTTACACCTTTAAACCAAATTTCATCAAAATCGGAAAAAAATTACTCAAGTTATCGCGTTCACGGACGTATATATATATATATATATAAATCTATATATATACATATATAAAAATTTGAACGAATGGTGTTTTTGGCCTCTGGGGACATCAAAATGAAAAAGTAAATCGGTCCCGGGCCTAGGTCTTACCGTGCCACCTACGGTAATAACTACTTCCCTATAGGGAAATTCGCTAAAAAACTGGTCTCCTAGTTATATAACCAAATAGTTAAGCCCAAATCATGAAAATAACCCTCAAATAATAGAAACAAAATTTTGTCTACCCCAGCGATCGGTGTGGACGTACATGAACTAGACGTGAAAAACCAGCTTCAAAATTTACTATGGGATGAGGAGTCTACTTATGTTGCTTAGTCTATGGTGAAAGTCAGTGTGGGATGTGCTTTAAATTGGGTACGGTAGCTATATTACTAAGATCGACTATTTCATAACGCAAAGGTTGTTAATATACGGTACTTTTGATGGAGCTACGGGATCACATCATTTGTCCGAGTTTTCAGTTGTCCGAATTTGTTAAAAATTACAAAATATTAGAAAAATCAGTTGTCCGAGTTTTGATAAATAACTAAATATATTTAGATAAATCAACTGTCCGAGTTTTCATTTGTCCGAGTTTATTAAATTATTTTTAATTATATCAAAATATCGGTTGTCCGAATTTTCATTTGTCCGAGTGTAACGCCACCGAGCTTTACTTAACTTTAATGATTTATGTTTTTAACTGTCAGTAGCTATACCGCTGCCACCACCCGATTTCGGGAAGAACAATGAAATGACGCATTATTGAATTTTAGTAAATATTTTATTTAAATGCAAAATAGTGAGTTTTTACAAAACATCTTCTAGACAATCACAATGGAAAAAGAGAGACTAACGTTTGGTATGAAATAGGGCCGAAATTTAGCAGTTTAAAAGAATTATTAAAAAGTTACATGATGAAATAACGCACTACCGTACTTACAATAGTAAACTGTATCGACACCTAGCTCGGACTCGACTGCCCGTTCCACTTGCAGAGTGCTGATGCCGACATTCTTTCAGCGTCAGCACTCCTCGCAACCAACGTCTGTCTAACAACTAGCTTGAACATTAGGCTCTCTTTTATAATCTGAATTATTGATACAATATATAAAAATAGGAAATACATAGAAAAAGGATAAAATACTTTTAATACCCTTGAAATAAATCATTCTAAAAGTATTACGTTATCGTTAAAAAAAGGGTTATTATTATCGGATTATTAGTTAAATTGATTGTAAAAATTGATTATATATTATATAATATTATTATGGGGGTGGAGCCGTTACATCACTCCCTCCTTTCAAAAAGATGTGTTATATACAAGTTTTACTGAAAAATGACACATCTTTGGTACAAACAACAAAGATTATGTGCTTTACTTGACATATCCATTACTTGTTTTGTTCAAAAAATTACTAAGACACATTTTCCTTTTTCCTATCAAAACTATTAATTAAAAATAAACCCAAAGAACATTCACTTAACATATTAAATACGAACAATAATATACCAACAGTGGTTATCATAAATTCCAAGATTATTTATCAATTATTTAGTATAGTTCAATATCATGACATATTAATTAATACAATTATTTGAACCACATCACACGAGCACTACACGGAGCATATAGTTTGCTTTATTGAGTTTTAATGTAAGTCACTTTCACTTGTTATATACTTCCCAATTGTCTATGATGGGTTGGGGGCTTGAAACCTAGTGAAAGAAGTCTCCTGGAGTATTTCAGCTAGTGGAGATCCTTCATTGGCCCTCACTGTGCTCTGTGTGTGTGTCATGGTATTCTCTACTCTGACTCCACAGGATCTCAGGTAGTTCTTGCGACAAATACAAACTACAACCAGTATGCTGCTACAACAAAGTACTATAACTAAAACAGTGTAATGCCCTAAATTATCTTTTACATGTCTATTACACCTCTGTCATTGAATTCATTATCCAAAGTTTTTAATAAGCGGTCAAGCTTAACATCATCTTCATCGTCATCTAAGCTAATCTGGTTTAATCTGGTTTAAAGTATCAAAAGTTAAATTACCATTAGCTAAGAGTAACTTGGTTTCATTTAAACATAGCATTGCATCTATCTTGGGTATATGAAGCGGGGTGATGCTTCTATTGTAGTATGTATTACCGCTTAGTTTCGAAAATATTCTAATACCTTTACCAAACATATCGCAATTTGAAACATCCTGTAAAATACCTGAACCATTCAACACAATTTCAGAATACTCTTTATCAGGATTTGACTCTATCCTATTGTTGTGAGATACCTTGAAACAATTCATCACCAGTTTATAAGGTTTGGATACACTATAAATCCAATCATTACCATTTTGTAACAAAAAGGGGGAATCTACATTATCTGTCAATTTCCTCACACATTTATAATGAACCATATCAGTACCCATAAACAATGAGTATATGCAATCATTAACTGTACGATGAATGACTCTAATTGAACTTGGACACAAATAATAGTAATTTAGTTTACATTGTAAGAACTCATGTGTAGTCAATGGGACATAATACTGTCTGTCTCTAGCAATCAGTAAATAACTAAAAGTAATATCCCATTTTAACCAATGCTTAACACTACTCTGGTACAAAGGTACTGGGTGGATTTGATAAGTTTCAAACTGCCTGTCATTTGAGCTGAGAGGTACTGTTACAATCAACTGTATTCCAAAAGGTGTTGCTAATGCATTAGCACTACAGAAATTGTAATATAAAAACAAATCTCCATCTCTAACTGGTATAATTAGCTTAAGGTGATTGGGTATTAACTTCTCAATGCTCTCCAGAATATGAATGAAATCAAGTGGTGGTAATAACTTGCTACTTATCTTCCCTAACCTTACTAGTTCTAATGCCTGTCTGAATTCCACAATTCTTAGTTTAGCTTCATCTATGGTTTGTCCAAGATGGCGAATCATTGTAATAACTTTCATGTGCTTGGCCAAAGATCTATGCAACATTATATTTTCTTCAGCATACCCTAACAAAGATGAAACAAGTTGTGTATTTGCTAAAGATAACTTTCTCATAATTTCTACAATAGACTTAGTATTAACTTTGATTTTAGAGTTCAAGTGTTTCACCAAAGTTAACTGGTCTCGCTTATAGTTCACAATGTCACTTTCAACACTCTTAGTTCATTAACCCTTTTACTAACAGATGTTATGTCTTCATTTGTTGGTATACCAAACAACCATTTAAGTACATATCCACCTGCATTGATCAAACCACGTTTGTTCCTGGGACTGTTAACACTATGAACTGGAAGGAGTCTGAACAAGTCATCAAGGTCCTGTCGGTATTGATCTAAATTACTTTTGATTCTATCAAGCTCGAATCCGTAATCTTCATCCCATACGTTTACACTATCATTGTTAATTAAATGAGTTACATCGTCTAAAGCTACTTGTAGTGGCCTCAGTTCTTGATGGAGTTCACTTGTATCAAAGTCTAGGATTATTTTCCAGTTGTTATCTGACACAATAGAGTCTTCTAACCTTCGAAACACTATCCCTTGGTTGATATCTGTGACTACAGTTGATATGACAGTCAATAGGTATCCTGTGAACACATACTCTGTCTCTTATTTCTAATTATACACACATATATCTCTAACATTTTTATTTATACAACATCTTATACATATAGCATCCTACATTACATGACCTTAAGCACTTTTGTGTTTCATTGGTTCAATAAGATTATCTAACATAAGCTTAACATTTAAACTGTACATACATTGTGTCATGTCAAAATATTATCTTCAATTGCCAAAATATCATCATTATATCATTGTCAGTTACATCAGTGTATCATCATTATTCTCATCTCTATGGTAAAGAATCTCTCTACTATGTTTACAACCATTGACTTTTGAGTGGAATTTTTAGAGTTATTAAGGTTAATTCCCTAGTTGATTTGTAAGTACTCAGACAAATTTAAAGTTTTAGTTTGAGCTCAAAATAATCTAACAATCATACTACCTTCCATTCCCATTCACAAACTTTCATGTCACTTTCTCTCATCATTCATCCCATACATCTATACAACACATTCACTTCTGAGTGTCTTAATTCTCAAAGGAGTAAAACGCTTACTTCTCTACCTCCCACTTAGTCTAGTAAATTAGAGGACTTTGTTACCTTCTGTTATTGATTAAATTATAAATGACAGCAAATCACAATTACAACATGTTATTACAATATCTTACTTAATAATATAACTCTATTTAGCTCTCTCATTTTATCCTTTATTTACATTACATTTTTTTTCCTTATTAAACTATTGAAGTTCAAAGTCTTCAAGTCTCCTTGGTACCCTTCTTTCTCGTCTGGGCCTGTCGCTTGTTGGATCTGGAGCGCTAGTGGTGCCTTCTGACTCAGGTGGCTCTTCTGCCTGTTCTGGTTCCTGAGGTACATTAGCTTGCCTGGACAACTCGCCATTGTCTCCTCCTTCTTCCCTCACAGTATCCATTGCTTCATGTGCTCTGTCTTCGTTATTTTCTTCTACTTCTTCCTGTGTTAGCACCATGTCCAATACAGGTTTAATTCTATTTACATGTACTGTGACATTTTTCCCTTTAATTCTCAGGACAACATTCAAGCTTGAGATAACATCCACAATCCTGTAGGGGCCTTTCCATAGTCTAGAAAGTTTCTTGACTCTTCCTTTCTTTATTTGAGGTACATGAAGGTAATCCTTTTGTCCAACAGTGTACTCTCTTTCTTTGGCCTTTTTATCATACTTGTTCTTCTGTAATCTCTTTGCTTTTGTTTGGCATTCTATTGATATCTCCTTAACACGTTCAGTGCGGGCATCATCAATAGATGATGTCCGACACTAGCACTGGTGGCGGACATCAGCTATAGCTGACGTCATGCCACTCTCTCCACATTAGTTTAGTGTGAGCTCAGCCATTGCCGGGGAACGTTATAATCGTTGCCAGCCTGTAGCTTAGATTTTAAGCTTTAGTCTGGTGTAGGTTGGTACTAAAATTTCCCGTAAAATCCCGTCTAGCAATACTTTTTTCCCGGTTCCGGCAATTTTCTCTTTTCAAGCCACTTTACAAAGACACTGGCTACGAATCCAGGCAGTGCTGCTACCTTTGGGTGTTTCAGTGAACTACGTCCACTCTCGGGCTAACACAGCACAATCACCGCTGCTCTATTTTTATTCGTCAGACTGAAATATTTGAATGCCAATTGCGTTCACCGATTCAGTTGCGCTGCGGGGCTTCGCCCGGGCCTCGCCGCCATTATCGAGCGCCTGTTTGAAGGTATGCCGCACTGAACGTGTTAACTTGTTGTAGTCTGGCTCTTAGATCTTCTACGTAGTCTGAATAGATATCTGCATCTTCAGCTAGTGTTAGGTCTGCCTCCAGAGGAGATCTAATTTTTTCCCATATACCATCTCTATTAATGACTAATTTCATACATATGTATGACCATTGAATAATCCTTAGATTTCTGTTGTATAACTTATTTGTGAAGATTAAATGTCATATGTTTCTAATAATGTTAGTAGTAGTGATTTTGGGAATTCATGGACAGAGGAGGGAGGAGTGTAGACCACGTGGGTTAAGGTAGGTCGGGAAGGGAGGTGTGTCCATGACGTCAACAGAGGATGATCTTACAGACAGAGACTGATCCTCTGATTTGGATGACCTTTTTTTGTGTAGATATAAAGAACGTTAAATCAGTTCTCATTTGGTATATTTGTTGTATAATAGGATCTCACGGCTGAGATCGAAAACGACAACAGCTTTTGAATCTCATTTTATATAGGACCACCAATAGGTTCTCAACTGCACAAAAATGGCGCCGATTGCATCATTCGGTGCTCATGTTTTCACTAGAGGATTTGTATGAAGATGCAGTATTTCGATCTCAGGACAGAGGAGGGAGGAGTGTAGACCACGTGGGTTAAGGTAGGTCGGGAAGGGAGGTGTGTCCATGACGTCAATAGAGGATGATCTTACAAGCAGAGATTGATCCTCTGATTTGGATTACCTTACAGACAGAGACTGATCCTCTGATTTAGACAGCATTGAAGTTGGACATTGCTAGTTCTATTCTGTCTAGTTCTATTGTCTGCTGCTCAGCTGCACTGCATGCAAGGTGCAAATAGCAATATTTTCTGCTACTGTAGTTATGTAGTTATGGATTTGTGACCATGTGGAGTGAGGTAGGTCGGCGACTCAGTACGTGGTGTGGTTCTGAGTACAGTACTAAGGTGACGTTACATGTAAACAGAGGATCAGAGACCACGTGGGTTGAGGTAGGTTGGGGAGGGAGGTGTGTCCATGACGTCATATGTAAACAGAGGATGACCTTACAGACAGAGACCGGTCCTCTGATTTGGATGCACCTTACAGGCAGAGACTGATCCACTAAATTCGGGTTCAACTCTAACCAATCATTTCTGGTTGGAGGTCTATGGGTTCAATTCTAACCCAACAGGTTTTGTAAAAAAAATTATTTCATTTTATATCATATTATGTATATATATATGCTATAGTGCATAATAAATGTGAAACAAATGATAATTCATGTATCTAATGTTAAAAACAGCTGAAAGAAGGTTTTAGCCGAATTTTACCATAGAGTATAAAAAATGGCCTTTGTAAAGGCCACCAAATATATTATGTTAAACTTATATCTAATTCATGCTAAATGAGTTACTTTGGGTTGGGTTGTTTTTTGTATAGTGTTGTATTGTAGTGGGAGTAGTGTGAGTCCCTGATCTTAGAGGTTCACGGGTTCGATCCTTACTAATCACTAAATGTGTTATTTTTGGTGATATGTTGTTGCTTTTTGGTATGGTATAGTTAATTGTTTGTATATGAGTTTCTGAGGTTCATGGGTTCAATCCCTACCAATCATCAAATGTGTTATTTCTGGTTATATGTTGATTTTTACGTGTCTTCTGAGTTGAGTCGTTCTGTGTTTAGTGACGTCACTTGTCTTGGGAATCATGTGATCATGGAATGTTCTAGAAACATTACCATAAAAGGAAATGCATTATGGTCACGTGATCATCTTGGAACGTTCAAGAACATTACCATATATGGTCATGTGTTTCGATGATTGTGCAACAGCCCGGTCTTAAAAAAACTATTCCTGTAAAATATATTTTTTTCGTGTTTTACACTGTTGTTATTTATTGCCCTGGTGTGCACAAGGTTTTTTGTAGCTCTTTCTCATAAAAAGATCCAATTATTTCTTCACCACTTTTATCTTTGATTCTATAGGTTATTGGAAAGGTGTCTTGCACTTTGGATATGGTAAATATCTCTCTAGTCCAATTGCGACTGTATTTATCGGCAAACGTATCTTTTTTTGCCACAATCCTCACTCTGTCTCCTAGTTGAAATTTTATTTTTCTAGGTGTATGAGGAATATTGGAGAACCTCTCAAGCAATCTAGGTACGTCCGCCTTAGTAACCTCTGCAGGTTTCATACAAATTGTACGATGGACACTGTTGTTGTACTGATGTAACAAGTCTTGAACTATGTCCAACCACCGAAAATAATTTCGAGTCTCGAATATAACCTTCATTTTTTCATTCAACGTACGATTGAACCTCTCAATGATTGCACTCTTTTCCTCATTTTCAGTATGGTACATTTTTATGTTGTACGATTGCAAAACTGACTTAAAATCACGGTTAAGAAATTCTTTGCCCTTATCGGTGTGTAACAGTCTGGGAGCGGTGTGACCATTGACGTCAATTGCTCGCTTCAATATGAGCATAAACGATTCGGCTACTTCTGCACCCCGTTTGGTCATCAATGGCTCTGACCAGGCGAATTTTGAAAAGGTATCAATCACATTTAACATATAACTATAGCCATTATTCTCACTGGCATACTTTCTCATGACAACCAGATCTGCGGCCCACAGATCGTCTATACCTAGGGTAACAATACGTCGTCGAGGAAAGTGCTTGATCACTGGTCTATGTACTTCCTTGGCGGCCATACTGGGTTCTGGAACTTTGACGAAGGCGCCTTTACGCTGACCACAAATATTGCATGTCGTATTTAAACGCCATTTGTTGTTAACGGTTTTGACATACTCCCCACTGTCTTGAGACGTGGTTTTCCTTTTGCATTTCATACAGTAGATTTCCATTGGCTCTTATATAAGTGGGAAACACTTAAAAATGAGTGAACTGCACAGGCACAGAATTCACTTGTCCGACGGTCAGAAGCGTAAGCTACGCATCGCATTTAAGAAGCGTAGAACTGCTATAATTGGTTTAACTAATGATAGCCTCTCACGTGGAGCGGATCATATACTGCTTAACGAAGCACAACACAAGGCTGTTGAAAAAGCTATCCGGAACAAAACCGGTCTACGTCTGGCTGTGAGCTACGACCAGCTTTTGAAAAACAAAGAGGGCGGTCTTTTGAAAGAGATGTTGGAAATGGTTGAATCAAAGGTGCCATATGGAAAACGTTTCATATCTCCATTGATACGACATCAGGTGGCACCGATTCTCAAGAACCGATTCGTGCCGTGGTTGAAAAACCTGATCGATAACGAGCTAGATTCAATAATTGAAAAAGACCCCAAGGGAGCCGGTCTGAAGCGATGCATCAACAACAAACTGGACTCTCTTTTAAAAAACCCGTAAAATCGTTTGAACCTATGTCACTGGGAGAAATAGAGCTTTATGCTAACCAATTAGGCATCCGTGGCTTTCGAGGAGTGTTTATGAGACAGATATTACCCGAAGCCCCTATGGAGTTTGAATGTGGAATCTTGAATCTGGGTAATATCGATTCTTCTGGAACCCATTGGACTTGTTATGTTAAAGACAAAAACAAAAAGTTCTATTTCGATTCGTTTGGAAACGCACCCCCACCACTAGAACTAATAGACTATTTAGGTTCAAACGATCTCTTCTATAATGACATTGCTGTTCAAGAGTATAATGATCCACCTATCTGTGGTCATTTGTGTTTGGAGGTTTTACGTCGAAACTCTAGTGATGAGCCTTGGGATGATATCATAAGAGCTATACGGGATGATAAATACGTATGGAGTTGGTGGTGGCAGCGGAAGATTCATGTTCAATAGATTCGGGGACGAGGTGGACTACCAAAGCTCAATTCGTCTACAAATCGAATCACAAACAAAGTCTGAAATTAGAGATCTTGTCAAATCAGGCCTTTCGGAAATGAAGAAAATGTTGAGAACACCTAACGACGATTCGAGCCATGTAGCATTAAACAATAGACTTGGTAAAATAGAATCTACGATGAACATCAAGAATAATTTCATTGGTTTTAAAAGCAAACGTTTGGTTAGCGTCTCCAATGCAATTGATAAACATGACGTTGTAAATAAATATCAATTAGATACTGTCAAATCAACGGTGGATAGACTAACAAAAACATTCGATGTTTCGAACCCTGAGGTGGTGAATTTAAACGGACATCGAAGAATAGGAAAAGTCAGCAGATCAAAAGATCTTTATGACGTGATCGTAAGGAAAGAACTAAACGAGTTAAATTAAAAACTGGTTACATTCCAGACAAACCTTAACACGATATTGGTTAATATACACGATGACATTATAAATTTAAAGAGAGCACAAAATGGTTATGATATAAGTGACAAAGATGCCGCTAGTGAAAATCCGGGGCAAAGGATGCCAAATGACATTCCATCCAGAGCACCCTATCCGCCTCAGTGATGGTAGCAAGTGCCGACTAGCTCTAGTTAGCTTTATGTCAGAGAACTACATAAACAACGTGTTAGAACCGGGTAACATATATTTTTGGGACAGCGATATTTATCTGATCTCGACGCCATTTACGATCTCAAGGGGATATTGGACTATTGAAAAACTAAATGAAAAAATCATCGAATATATTACTGCATTGAAACTTAACGTACCTACCAACCAATTTTCAATCAAAAGGGAAAACGATCGTATCGCAATAACAAGTCCATTGAAATTTTATCTCGACGAAAAGGCGGCTTCATTCCTCGGATTCTCAAGTCCAGGAGAGAAACCATTAACCGAACAGAAATCGTTTTACGATGCCAATACGTTTCTGGTTGCGCCAAACGCACCCAATTTCAGGGCTGTGGACGCCATAGAGGTACACTGCAACATCGTAGAGCACAGTTACATCAACCACGATGAGCACAGACACAAACATGTGGAAGCAGAACTGTTGTACACGTTCTTCCTGAATGTAGCACATGGCTACAAGATATATGAAGTGCCAACGGAGAAGTTGTACGTTCCTCTGAGGAATGGTTTACAAACGATCAACCGAATCGACATCACTCTCCGAGATCAAAACAATCGCTTGCTTCAAAACGAAAACGTTGAATGTGTAATAGTTTTAGATTTATATAAGTCCTAAAATGGATATCAATGTGTACTGCATCGAAGAAGGATCCATAAATAATCTATTACCACACCCATTAAGATGTCTTATAGTCGGTTCATCAGGGTGTGGAAAAACAAACCTTTTGCTCAATTTTATCTATAACGTAAAGGGTGTAAAGTTCAAAAACCTTTATGTATTCAGCCGATCCATTGATCAGCCAGCATACACACAGCTACGTAAACACTATGAAAAAGTAGAGCACGCACTCGGCACAACTATTGCATTCTTTTACTCAAACTGCAGTGACTTGATACCTCTAGACGAATGTAAGTCCAATTCTTTGGTGGTGTTTGACGATTGTCTTTTAGAAGAACAAACAAAAATAAAAGACTATTTCATACGAGGGCGTCATAAACAGGTATCTTGCATTTATTTAAGTCAGAGCTACGGACGGGTAGACATGCAAGTAATAAGGAATAACGTTAATCTTTTGTGTATATTCACACAGAACAAACACTATACACAAAAGATATACAACGACTTCGTTGGATCTGATATGATGTACCAAGAGTTTGTAGGCATGTGTAAAAAGTGTTGGGCGGAACCTCACGGTTTTATGTCAATAGACACTACTAAAAAAACGCATCTAGGTAAATATAGATGTATGTTTAAGGAAACGCTATATCCCTAATAAAAACATTTTTGCATCGAATACGAGTATTTGGTTGAATTAACGATATTTTATACTGAAGAGCGTATTTACACTAAATGATAGTGTTTATGCTAAAAAAACAATATTTCAAATTAAAGAGCGTTTCTGCACTAAATAAACGTTCTATTTTTATCAAAAGCGTTTCTACACTAAATAAACGTTATATTTATGTAAAGAGCGTTTCTACAATCAATAAACGTTTCACATGTACATGTTGGAATAACGATGTGAATCTTACGTTGTGTTTATGTGTTACTAAGTGCACAATGGATGCAAAAGAAGCTAAGCGACTTGAGACTCTAGAAAAGAATCTCGTCAAAAAATTTCGGACAGCGGAACAGGAGGAAAAGAAAGAACGAGCTAAGAAACTGGAGGAGATTACAAACTCCCATCCCAATACACATGCAATACAAGACATTACAAAACCCCCAACACGAGTAACAGGTAAAACGCGAGATGAACCTCTGACAGTTGAAAAAGCTAGACAACTGGAGCAACTGCAAACCACTCTGCAAAACCAGTTCGGAGAAATACACGTTAGGGAAATGGAGGAACAACGTGTAAGGGAGAAAAAGTACGAGGCTATCACCAAAGCGATTAAAGAGAAAAAAGAAAAGGATGAGGTACAGGAGAAAAAAACAAAAGAAATGCTGAAAAAACAAAAATACAACCAGCTAATGAAACGCAACTTTAGACCATCAGTCTCTAGTACACCGGACCGAGTTGGTTATATCGGTTCCACTCAAGACGATGATGACGAAGATGAAAAAATGGAAGTAGTTGCAGATAAATCAATAAAACAGTTGATGGATACCAAGATCGTTAATCTCGGAGTGGTCGGGGCTAAATATCTACCACGAGCTAGTGACTCTCAATTCGGCATTTATTTCGATGAGATAGATGAGCAACTAAAAATCGGTTCTGAACCAATTGGGTTTGATTATGATGACATTATTGTAAACAACAAACGATTTAAAGGTACTGAAGGACTTTGGAAACTTTTAACGAAGAAAGGGTTTGTACAGTCTAATGAATACACATCAAACGATTGGCAGACATATAAAGATATGCTTTTGATGACAAACTCTATCTTCCAGAAAAATGACCCTACTACACGACGTCCAAAATCTAGTTCAGGACAAAAATGGCGGAAAATGATAAAACCTATTTGGGACGAAGTTATCAAACCGACCGATCCGATTGAACAAGATATGGACAGGGATGTATTGACGGGATCAGGTTTAAAACGCTACCATGACGGTCCGGTTGAATATCGCTACATCAAAGACCTCAACGAGCTCATCAACCGTCTGAATTTTATTTACGCAGAGGAGGTTGCAGGCAACAACAACTTTCACAACGAAAAACTATCTGTTGTTAAATTCATATCCGACCGTATGCAAGAACTGATTGACCAACCGAACGGGGTCAAATACGTAGTACGATGTTTGTCAGCCTTGCCTGAACGCGCGATAGAAGGCTCGGGATTGTTGAACGACATCATCAACAAATTACCTGTAGAACTACACGCCCCACGTAACTGGAAATTCGATACGTACAACTTCTGCGGTCCAGGCACGAAGCTCGCTGAACGATTAGGTCGTGGTGACAAGGGTGTGAACCCTTTAGACGATGCGTGTAAACAACACGACATATGGTACAGAGACCACCGGAAGCCTGAAGACAGATGGGTCGCAGATAAAGCGTTACAGAAAGCGGCGTGGGATAGAGTGACGTCTAGCGACGCGGACCTTAACGAGAGGAGCGTAGCCCTCGCGACCACGGGTGCGATGTGGTTGAAACGTAAACTAGGGATGGGTTTAGGAACATCCGCGTGTTCATATCCCTGTAGAAAAAAAATTGGTATATATAAGTGAGCAGCATGGACAACGCTTGGCGAATCTTGTCCCGCGAACCGAAGGCACCGAACGGTGTACTCACCGACGAGCTCGTTATGAAGTTCGATGAGTACCTCAGTAGGCCAGGCGGGGATATGGAACCAAGATGGCGGCCGTCTAACCACAGGTGATTAGTTGACCACGTGATGTCAGTAGGTGTTTGTATTAAAT